TCTAATGTGGAACACTTCTTTTTTTTAATACAGTGGGGCAAAAAAGTATTTAGTCAGCCACCGATTGTGCAAGTTCCCCCACTTAAAATGATGACAGAGGTCAGTAATTTGCACCAGAGGTACACTTCAACTGTGAGAGACAGAATGTGAAAAAAAAAATCCATGAATCCACATGGTAGGATTTGTAAAGAATTTATTCGTAAATCAGGGTGGAAAATAAGTATTTGGTCAATAACAAAAATACAACTCAATACTTTGTAACATAACCTTTGTTGGCAATAACAGAGGTCAAACGTTTACTATAGGTCTTTACCAGGTTTGCACACACAGTAGCTGGTATTTTGGCCCATTCCTCCATGCAGATCTTCTCGAGAGCAGTGATGTTTTGGGGCTGTCGCCGAGCAACACGGACTTTCAACTCCCGCCACAGATTTTCTATGGGGTTGAGGTCTGGAGACTGGCTAGGCCACTCCAGGACTTTCAAATGCTTCTTACGGAGCCACTCCTTTGTTGCCCGGGCGGTGTGTTTTGGATCATTGTCATGTTGGAAGACCCAGCCTCGTTTCATCTTCAAAGTTCTCACTGATGGAAGGAGGTTTTGGCTCAAAATCTCACGATACATGGCCCCATTCATTCTGTCCTTAACACGGATCAGTCGTCCTGTCCCCTTGGCAGAAAAACAGCCCCATAGCATGATGTTTCCACCCCCATGCTTCACAGTAGGTATGGTGTTCTTGGGATGCAACTCAGTATTCTTCTTCCTCCAAACACGACGAGTTGAGTTTATACCAAAAAGTTCTACTTTGGTTTCATCTGACCACATGACATTCTCCCAATCCTCTGCTGTATCATCCATGTGCTCTCTGGCAAACTTCAGACGGGCCTGGACATGCACTGGCTTCAGCAGCGGAACACGTCTGGCACTGCGGGATTTGATTCCCTGCCGTTGTAGTGTGTTACTGATGGTGACCTTTGTTACTTTGGTCCCAGCTCTCTGCAGGTCATTCACCAGGTCCCCCCGTGTGGTTCTGGGATCTTTGCTCACCGTTCTCATGATCATTTTGACCCCACGGGATGAGATCTTGCGTGGAGCCCCAGATCGAGGGAGATTATCAGTGGTCTTGTATGTCTTCCATTTTCTGATGATTGCTCCCACAGTTGATTTTTTCACACCAAGCTGCTTGCCTATTGTAGATTCACTCTTCCCAGTCTGGTGCAGGTCTACAATACTTTTCCTGGTGTCCTTCGAAAGCTCTTTGGTCTTGGCCATGGCGGAGTTTGGAGTCTGACTGTTTGAGGCTGTGGACAGGTGTCTTTTATACAGATGATGAGTTCAAACAGGTGCCATTCATACAGGTAACGAGTGGGGGACAGAAAAGCTTCTTACAGAAGACGTTACAGGTCTGTGAGAGCCAGAGATTTTCCTTGTTTGAGGTGACCAAATACTTATTTTCCACCCTAATTTACGAATAAATTCTTTACAAATCCTACCATGTGGATTCATGGATTTTTTTTTCACATTCTGTCTCTCACAGTTGAAGTGTACCTCTGGTGCAAATTACTGACCTCTGTCATCATTTTAAGTGGGGGAACTTGCACAATCGGTGGCTGACTAAATACTTTTTTGCCCCACTGTATACACTGCCGGTCAAACGTTTTAGAGCACCACAGTTCTTCCAGTTGTTTGTTGCAGTTCAAGTAATTCAGGTCCAATGAACAGCTTGAAAATGTACAAAGGTAAGTGGTGAACTGCCAGAGGTTTACAAAAAAAAAGTTACCCAAAACTGTAAAATAATGTACAGAATTATACACCAAGGCCTTTTTCAGGGAACACAACATAGGTTAACAATTTAAGGCTGTTGTGCAGCAAAGGAGGTTGATCAAGCCTTGAAAGCCGCTGCTACTAATTCCTACAGGTGTTCCAACCTTTCTGGATTACTTCCCCCTCTGCCTGCATAAAAGCAGTGTTGGAACACACTGTGGTACCATACCCTCGTGAGCATCAGTTGAACTGTATTGTACTGCTGAAAGTAGAGTGTTGCTACAAAAATAGCGAGAAACAGGCAGTTAAAAATGGAAGAGAGATGGACCATCATAACACTTAAAAATTTCTTCTACAGAGAAACTGCAAAGAAAGTCCAGGTGTCAGTGAGTAGTTTCTTTCACCATCCAAAGGCTCAGAAACAAACTGTGACAGGAAGAGGTCTGCAGACCCAAAGACACAACTGAATCAGAGGACAAGTTTCTGAGAGTTAACAGCTTGTGTGATGGCGGCTCACGGGACAACAGCTCAATAGTAGTCGTAGTAAGCCCCAAACCCCATCGAGCTGGTTTGGGATGAACTGGAGAGAAGAGTGGAAGCAAAGCAACCTACAGGTGCGACATTTATGGGAACTTCTGCAACAGATATTGGAAGAACTTTGTGAAGAATATTTGATTTCTATTGTAGAGAGAATGCCACGGGTGTGTGCTGCTGTTATATCTGCCAAAGTGGCTACTTTGAGTCAAAAGTTTAGAATACATTTTACTCTGTAAATTGATTCTATGATTTGTTTTTTAACTCAAATTGCTCATTTGTACCGTTGTTTCATTTCAGAGTGCAATGAGACATTGAACTGCATAATTTCCAATGAAAATTGGGATGTTCTAAAACTGTTGACCGGTAGTGTATATCACGAGGTGGAATCTTTTAACTTCCTGTTAATCATGATAGAATCATTTTAAATTGGAATAAGTAGTTCTTCTCTAGTTGTGCTTTCTACTGTACACGCTGTGGGTCGATGCTTGTAGAGCTTTTGGGCTCTTTTCATCCATACTCTGTTATGCTACTGTTGGAGGATTTACTTAACTTCAGTTTGAGTATACAAGTCAATCTGTCATCAGATGAACTTACTTCTTGCATACTGCTACACTAAACCTGCTTGTGCAGTCTTCCTTTTGACTTTGTGATCAACTGAACTCTTTCACAGTTTGATTGTTCTTGTCGTAGGACTGCTAACAGTGTCTGTTTTCCCTCACAGAGTAGTTGACTGCTATTTTCTCATGTTAACGTCTGTTCACATGGGCTCATTTGCACCCTTATCTTTGTGTGTATGGAATGTGAGTTACAGGTGCCTGAGGTAATGTTGAGGTCACAGATCATTAACCCTGGTGCATCAGTGGCTCATGATTGTAGTGTAGATGAATATACTGCTCTTCCCTAACAGCAGCTGGACGAGGAGAAGTTGGGAGTGGCTGCAGTTGGTGGGAGTACTCCAGGAATCAGGATTGCAGGCCCTTTTTTTAAAAACTGAGTCCCAAAAAAGAAGAAGAGTGCAAATCCTTTCAGATGATCCAACTAGACAGCTGTTAGATGTGTTTGAAGTTGGAAGTGTCCCACACATCCCATGACTGTATTCCTGCTTCCTGAAGTAACCTTCCTTCCCCACTCCTCACCTTGGTCATAAATTGCACCACTTGTTTATTTCACTTTTTGAAATCTTAGCTTTTGGTTTATCTGGAATCATATTCGTTAAGTGTAGGTGGAAAAAAGTTTTTAATGTGTTTTCATTTAAAAAAGAAAAACAAAACTTTACTGTCACAGCATGCTGGCAGATTTACAGGAAATCCCTCTCTCTTGTATCTCTGTTTAAGAGTAACATAGCGCTGCGCGGGTGTCGGACATCCCCCCCCCCCCCCCCCCTTTTTTTTTCTTTTTTTTTTTGACTTGTTCCATTTCTTTTCTTACCTCTGCAGTATCACTCTTTCTCTATGATGGGCTGTTTTACTCTCTGGAAACATGTTTATCTTGACATCCTTTTTCCAGTCACAAACATGATCCTTGATGCTCCTTATGCTAGTGTCTCCATACTCCATTGGGGGATGCTGCCACTGTAAAATGTGGCCACAAACCTCCTTGTGTTAGCATGAGTAATGTGGAAATGTGCAGTCCCCTCAAAAAACTCTTACAAAACTGCATCTTTGTTCTCATTTTTAGAAATTATCAAATGTGGTGTGATGAAGCCCTTCAAGCAGCAGTTACTACTTTAAAATCAGTAACAGGGACACAGGACTAAATCTAGTACTGCATTAACTGACCTGGTTTTATTTCTGTTCCCAGACAAGACATTTTGTAAAGCTCACCCTTCTACCAGTTTTCTTACATCTTTCTTTCCCTCCCCCTCCTTACTGCAGAAGCTGCAGCTGTGCCTTCGGAGCCAGAAGAACTGTTTGATAACAGCACTTACAAAAACTACCAGCACCACAGCTACAACCCCTACACATTTGCAGACCTGGATATGCAGATGGCCAAGTTTCGTCTCCCTCAGCCCTCCTCTGGCAAGCCTTCACCCAGGCACTAAAAAGAGCTGATATGACCATAAGTTATGGCTTAAAGATGACAGTGATGGCAGTATCTCTTTTTTCATTGTCCCCCTACTTCTGTTGTTTTTAAAGTAAATCATTAAAGTCCACACGTAAGAATTGAGGTCTGTTTTTTTTGCCTGACTTGGCTGTTTTGTCTTGTATAAAGCAATTGGTGTATAAAGAAATGGGAAAGATCAAACAGTTCTTTTATCGTGCTTTTCTGCCTTAGGGGCATCATTTGAATAGAGCTGAGTGTGCAAGTGGTTTATCTGTGGTTCTATTTTAATGATTACAATTTTGACTCGTTTAGCATGCCTGCATGCACATAATGTTCAAATTATCCATACGCATTCGTTTAGGAATAAGCACTCAGCAGTCTGTTGTCTTTCACGCATTAGTATGTTGATGATTAAAACGCGTGTATATAAAGGAACGAAGTATAAAGCGAGGGAAGTGAATCGCTTTTGCTAAGACAAAAAAAAAACAGCAGGGCGCAGGACTCGCAGGCAGCAGAACGTCATGTCTCCGCCCACCTAATACATAATCATGAGTCCTGCGCCCCTGCGTGCCCTTGCGCGATGACGTAACGCGACAACTGCGGGTCCCGATTGCTGCAGCCGCTTGTCAGTGTGACGAAGATTGGCACTCAGGTAAGCTGTCACTCAAAGTCCCTCTTTTTCCGTTCCCTATCAATCAAACAATCTGGGCCGCACGCAAAAATGTCCCGGGGCGAGGAGCGCGGACTTAGTCAGGGCAGCAGAGGATGTTTTTTAGAGGAAACAGAAGCGGCAGAGCGCTGTGAAGGATAAAAAAAACTGTATACATGGGAGGGGGGGTTAAAAAATATGTCGGCGTTTTGGGGGCTGAGGAGGATTGTGGAAAAGCAAAGGGCGAGCGCTAGAAACGAGGCCCAACACTTTACCACGTAGGGGAGGGGAAGTAGAGGGCAGCTGTCCCCGCTTGATTGATTGACTGAAAAGGGGAGGAATTTAGGATCAACCGGGCTAGCAATCCAATACTTAATAATTTCTTTACTGCCCAATTATTTCATATAGCTGACAAGAAATATAATTTAATTTTAAATGCATACTGTTAAGCGACCGACGCGGTCTTATTATTTGGTAAAATGGCTTACTTCGTATCAATCCGCAGGAGGGTCTTTTTCTGTACCTGGCTAGATTGGTTAGCTAGCTTGTTTTTTGGCCGCGATTACCTTCGCTAAATATGGCGCTTTGCGTTTTGGTTGCACTACCAACACGAATACACTTTGAAGTTAATACTTAGCTACGTCGAAGACGTTAGCTCGGCCATATGGTTGCTTATTTGACTGAAGCCTAGGTTGGCTTCGTGAACTAGCGCAAATGTGTCGTTTACGTTACTGGATAATTGTTAGCTGTACGAAAACGACCGTTTTTCCAGTCGGGCTGCTTTGTTTACGAGTAACGTTAGTCGGGTTATAGGAGAGTAGGCTAATATTAGCCCAAAGGATTTATTTCACTTTAATGTCCCCTTGCCGCCACGGTTGCCACAGCTAACACGAGCTAAAGGCTAAATCGTGGTGGGTGTGTTAACATCAATTGCAAGACACGCTAAGATATAACATCAGCATTATTATTTGTACAACACCCCTTAGGTTCATGATACCAGCCTCTTCTTGGCTTTTAGAGGTGAGCTGGATAAGCTATATGCAAAGAAGAGTAACGTTGGACCCCGTAGTGTGCTTTCGCTACTAGCACGTATGAAGACAACATTCATATTCAACATATCATTAGCCCCTCTGCATTTCTGTTCTAATATTGACATTTTGTATATATTTTGCATCTTGGTGTTACAAAGGGGAACAGTATTATGTCCATACTTCTGTATTTTACCGTAACAATGCCAACCTAATTAACAAAGCCAGTAACACTGATAATAGTTTAATAATGAAATCAGAACAGTTCTGTCATTTGAAGCTTATGTGCAAACACCTGAGGCAGTCTAACTGAAACTGTGTGTACTGTGTAGGTTGGCCACCAGTCCCTGCACTCTATAATGCCCCAGTGTTTGCAGCATCTGCAGTGAACGTGATGGCAGCCCACTCAGTCTCCATAGATAAGTACCCAAAGGGAGAGCAGCAGGTGGGTGAGAGGGACAAACTTTGCTTGGACCTGCAGGGAGCTATAGTCTGCTCTTTTGAGATACTAGTTAACTAAAGAGAATAAGCACAACAGCAGGACGGGATACTGTTTATAATTGGGACAGCTAAACATTCTAGGCTAAAACTTTGAGTGTTCTGGACTCTGCCTAATAGATAATTTATTTTTAGTGGTGAGAAGTCAGCCTTGGTAGCAGAATAACATGAACACGCAATCGGTGTCAATGCTGTTACACCAGTTTGAGTAATATATAGACTGAGCTTGTCTCTGAAACGCAGTATGGGAGACATCAGTAATGCATTGTAAGCCTCATTTCCTCCTAGTATTTATCTGTATGCATATTTGTAAATTGCTTAAAAAACATCTTTATTTAGGTGCTAAAATTTGTGGGTGTTGAGAGCTAAGAATGAACTATGACTAAGAAGAAATGTTCCTCCCTACGCAGGCAATCATTTTTGGTCTATTTGTGTTCAATCTAAGTCATTGTTGGCTGCAGTCACATGGTTGGGGATGAGATTTATGCTCCTTGAAGGGACTGTGTTGCCGGTAGGCAGGCACAGTGTAAAAAGGGAGAAAGACTTTGCTCAATAAAGTATTTTGCAGAGCCTCTGCTCACATTTCAATTCAATTCAGTTTTATTTATAAAGCACCAAATCACAACTACAGTCGCCTCAAGGTGCTTCATATTGTAAGGTAGACCCTACAGTAATACAGAGAAAAACGCAACAATCATATGACCCCCTGTGAGCAAGCACTTTGGTGACAGTGGGAAGGAAAAACTCCCTTTTAACAGGAAGAAACCTCCGGCAGAACCAGGCTCAGGGAGGGGCGGGGCCATCTGCTGTGACCGGTTGGGGTGAGAAAAGGAAGACAGGATAAAGGCATGCTGTGGAAGAGAGACAGAGATTAATAACAAGTATGATTCGGTGCAGAGAGGTCTGTTAACACAGGTGTATGGAAGTTGGGGGAGTGTATTCTCAGTTGTTATTCTTTGGACACCAGAGATGGTAGTGTTTCACTTTCTGGATCATGAGGGTTCTGCCAGACCTATGCACTGGGGACTTAAAAAAATATTTCAGAAAAGGGTTACAACCTAATGAATCTTAATAGCTTTCCATTTCTTTTAACAGTTTGTTTGAACAAAGTATGGAGATGTTAACAAAGGGAATGGAAGTAGTGACGCTTAGTGGAGGAGTTGTTGATCTCCTGTCTACAGCCCCACAGGATGTAAACGTGAGCATATCCCATGTGCTTTTTATGTAGCCGGGGTTGTTCAGTTTTAACATCTCTGCTGGTGGTTTTACTGCTCCTCAAGACTCAGGAAATTAAGGCAAATAAAGCCATGTTGGTTTAATTAAAAAGGCACACATCTTACCATACTATAGTTGTATACAACATCTATCATCCTCCTCCTTCATCCTTGCTAATTTGTTAGTTGGATTAGCAGTTAGCACACACACTGTTAGAAGCTTGTTGTTATACACCAGTGTTGCTCATAGTCGAGATGTTTGACTTATTAGTCAGTGTAACTTTGTTACCCTGACTTTAGACAAGAGAAATGACAGCTACATACACACCTCAGAAACACAGTGTTACTGTAATTATCTAAAGATTCAATGTTGCCTTTTGAGATTTTAACATAAAGAGAACTGGAGACTTGCACTCTCTGAGCAGTATAATTTTTTTCTTTTCATTTAACAACATGACCCAGAGTAGTAGTAGTTTGTTTTTTAAATCAACAGCTGCATTTACTCAGCTAAAAACAAGTGAGGGAGACTATCAGAGCCAACTGGGTCTGGATTCTTGGGTCCAGTGATTTGTAGAAACCTACTATTCTTACAACACAGCTGTCCTGTGCCAGATGTTCGTTTGACCCACTGAGGCAGACATCATGTCAGAAACATCAGGAGGACTGAGGTTCATTAGAGGGATCAAGAAGAGCTCAGGCTTCAGCATCAGCTTCCTCAAAGGGAAATCTTCAGATCTCCACCGTAGGCCTAAAAGGAGGACAAACCCAGCACTTAAAACAGTGTTTCTCAACTTTTACACAATGGTGTTACATTTAGTTCAGTAGAAAATTATTTAAAATCTAAACATATAGTAATCACAGAAGTGTTGCCCTAATATGTACAGAAGCTGAGCACAGCGGACATCATCAGTTTTCTTAAATCCCAAACTGAGTAACTGTTTATGCGCCTAAAGGTAAAGAGGATAACGGTACATATGATACCAATTACATGGATATATAATCCCTTTGACTTTCTTTCATGAACTTCCTCAGTAAGACAGCTGCAGCCTTCACTGATGGTAACTAATCTGGCAGTTTAGCCTTTGTTCTTTTTTAATCAGGTCATTTTTGAGTTACTATAATTTTGCTCCAAAGTTAAATAAGTGAATTTAGCATAAAGAGTGGGCTTATTGGATGATTCGTCTGTCACTGGGTGGTGCTGAGAGCAACTCCTGTAATCAAAGAATCATTGCAGTCAAATGTGAAGTTTATCCTTTAAAGCTCATCCTTTCATTATCCTGACACACTTTGGTTCTGAACGTCTTATATATTTTACAGTCTGCAATTCTGATGACAGCTGACATGCAAAGTGTTTGTTAAAAAACAAAGCTTTATATAGAGCAATACAATAAGCATTAGTTCTTTCCATGGATTTTTAAATTGGATTCAGGTCGTGTGATTGGCTGGCCCTGATGGCAGTTGATTTTTATCAGGAATGTCGGTATATTTTTCCATTCATCCTTCCTTCAGATATATGAAGTGTGCGAGTGCCGTATGCTGGAAAAATGGCCCCACACCATGATGTTCTCACCTCCAAACTTCACTCTCGGTTTGGGGTGTTTGACTTCCAAACATGGTGTGTATTACAGCCAGTGTTGGTCAAGTTACTTGAAAAAAGTAATCAGTAACTAATTACTGATTACAATTCTACTTTTTCTGCATAATTCATCATGCAAAATGTAATCAAATGGAAAAGTCTCTTTTTTTTAACTTGTTTTATCAGTTTTAATCTTTTAACTTTATGCATCAAGCAAAAATTAAATTATATGCAACATTCTCTGACTGGAAGAAATTAGTTTAACATTTAAACCTATTTTCTGCACATTCCAGCGCATAAAATAAAATATTTTTTGTGTTTACACTCAGTCTTTCAAAGTAAGTAAGTAAAACACAGCAGAAAATAAATAAAGTCAAAGACTAGTGGTCCTGTTGCTCTATTTTCACCTGTAAAGTAGGAGTGGGGTAGGCGGAGGTTTACCCTGGTGCAGGTGTGCCGCAGCGGTCAGTGGAAGAATCCGCGAGTTTTTGTGAATTTCCCATTACGTCGTTGTGCACTTGGTGCTTGTTTAGGGGTTTTTTCCGTTGTAAAAAGAAGTTTTCTTCCCACGCACAACAGACACTAATGTTTTTGTCACTTTTTATGGAATCAAACTCAAAGTAAGGTCAGTACTTCCACGCTTTAAACGCTGCACGCTCATACTCTCTCCCGCACTCGATATATTATCCACTGTTGATCTGCACACAGCTGTTGTCACGAACGTCGCACTTGCTTACGTCACTGTCTTGAGACATTCTAACGCATTACTGCCCATCTCTGATTACAGCATCCAAAGGTTTCAGTTTTGGTCTCACCTGACCAGAATATGTTCTCCCAGTATTTCACAGGCTTGTCTAAATGTTGTTTAGTCAGGTTTAAAACACACTTCAACATGCTTTTTCTTCAGCGGTGGAGTCTTGTGTGGTCATTGTGCATACAGGCCAGTCGTACCTGCTGATTCCAGATCTCTTCTCATAATTCTTTTGACTCCTCTATGGGCTCAAATTGTGGTCATAAATATTTTGTACTTGTAAATCAGTTTTGTATGTGTAAAAAAGATTTGTGTGTGGACTTAGCCAAAAATACGTTGAAACTCTGCACTCAAGTTTCAAGTTACAAGTACGAATTTTGACCCTATTTTTCTTCCTTTCATCTGATTGGTCAATGTCATGTCAATCACAAATGTAACAATCCAATCAGAGAACAGATGGGTTTGGCTGTCGGAGGGGCGCTTTTTTGAACTGCAGGTCCTTGAAGGGTGATACAGTTTGAAGCTGGAGGATCGCTATATAAATTAGAGATGGCACGATACCACTTTTTTATGTCCGATACCGATATCATAAATTTGGATATCTGCCGATACCGATATGAATCCGATATAGTGTGTTTTTTAATCAATAAAACTTTTTTTTAATATCTTGCTGCTTTTGTATAAGTTCATACTCAAGTTAAAAAAACAAAAAACACTAAAGCTATTCTGTTATACCTGTATGCAAAAAATACACTGCACCCAAAATATTTCATAGTTCAGCAAACTGATCAATCTAATAAACTTAAACCTACTCCATCCTCCCTATTCTGGTATTTTAAAGAGTAAGCAACCTAACTAATAGGTTCTAAAACTCCCAGCAAAAAAAAAAAAAAAAAGGAACCACCCTCCACTCATGATGCTTAATCGAGTAATCAACTTTAATTTGATGCAGTGTGAAAAAAAATGCACAGAAATCAATTATTCTTTTCAAGAATAATTAAATAGATTCAATAGATAAAGTACTATAGCTTACTAGGGTATATTAGACTTAACAGTTACTATATACAGTAATGGACTTCTATACATTTTACATCAGATTAAAACTTTGGGTGTAAGATTCAGATAATTATTTATTAAAAGCTGACATTTTAAATGAGAATAAGAAAGAAAAGTATGTCTTTGTGCCCCCTTTTCCCTGTTCATGCCCTATCGGCCCCCCTGGCTAAACTTTGCTAGATCCGCCCCTGCACAGTTACCAGCCGTCAGCTACGTAGAAAAAGATCCTGGTGTAGAAAGTAATATTAAATAAATTCTAACAACAGCTTATCAAGCTTAAACGTGCTGCTGTTGTTCAGCCGCTGGTTTCCTCTTTCTGGGCGAAGTGGGCCAATAAACAAAGAAGAGAGACGGACTCGCGACAGAAAAGCCGATCAGCTGATCATTGATCAGTTCACGATTGAAGTAGCAGCAGGAGAGGGAGGAGAGAGAGGCAGTCGCTCCATATATCGGTTGTTAAGCTTAACACAGGAATGCTTTACAAACATTCAGAGATGAACTTACACACTTGCTTTACTTCTCTCTGGGAAAACTTCCTCGGAGATAAATGCTGGTTTGGTAGCGAGGCTACAAATACACACAGTCTCTCTATCACGTGAGCACACTGCTCCAACGTCTAAGGTTATGAGCCGAGTTACGCCATGTCGCAAGTTTTGTGAGGTGCTTTTTTGATATTTAATGGATCGGATTACATTTTTTATTTCTCTCAATATCCGATCCAGTAATTTACGTCAGTATCGGACCGATACGTAATATCGGATCGGTCCATCTCTAATATAAATATCTAGCAGCTAGGTCCCTAACTTTCAGCAGCTGTTGAAAGGATAAAGTTGTGGTATATCAGTGGTTAGAAATACCATTATTCTTTAGGATTAGTTTAACACAAAGTCAGGGCTGACCCGGGACCATTGCTGTGAGTCACAGTGCGCAGCATAAAAGTCCTTTCACATCGGACGCAGGATGTGCTGCTAATGCTAACTGCTAACTAAAAGCAAAGGATCCAGAATTTGTTGCGCTGGCTGCTGGCTCTGTGGGTTTTTGCAGCAGCTCTACCTGTACTAGATGCACCTGCTCCTTGTCGCTTCTATCTCTGACTTATGTCCTCTACAAGAGTTTGTTTTTTTTGCTGGTTCTTCAAATGTTCAATAAAACCATGTATGCTAATTCATAACGAAGAAAGCTTTGTAACTATCCCCACCAGTGAAGACTGTCATTTCAAAGCACTTGAATTAATATGTGTAACTGGGTGAATGAGGCATGGTGTAGAAACATGTTCTTTCTGTTAGTCCAGTTTCCTTATTGTCAGTTTGAAACAGCAGGTTGTGGTTATGGAAGGTAAACAGACCTTCTCTCAGTATCTAGACTCTGCCTCCAGTTCCCAAGCAGATACACCCAAATTTCTCTAACTGTTGCTGCTAATCAAACTTCTAAGAAAGGTGACTCCTTGAACCCAAATCAACATGAGTAGTAGTAATGGCAGTACTAGTACTAGTAATCTGAGGTGAACTTCTTTTGTTTTTGTTTGAGCCCTGCCCCATTTGCTAACAGAGAGGGTGGGCTTTATGACCTGTACTGCAGCCTCACACCAGGGGGCAGTAGATACTTTTTGAGGAGCTGTCAGGTCGTCCAGGTTTTCTGTAGTCATTTATTAGTAACTTGTGGATCTCAGAAAATAGTCTTTTTGCTTGAAAATTCCTATGACTTTGAAAAGGAGTGCTATTAAAATGAAGCCACACGCTGTCACATGTCATCTTTGTCTTGAACGCTTCGTGCTGTAATTGTCTGTTTCTTGTCTGTTCTCACCTTCCTTGCAGATGCAAGGCATCATAAAGGTAGACAGTGATTCGGAGCAGAAGTTTATGGAGGGTACGTTGGGAGAGGTGCCCAGCCCGGCACCAACAGAGCCACAGACACCCATGGACGCTGACAAGGCATCCATATATCGGTAGGAGTGTATGTTTGTTTAAATAGAAATAGAAAATCAGACATTCTCAACAGTAACAGTATATGCAAGCTGTTTAATTAAAATTAAATCAAACTATATATGAACAAAAGTTTGCACATGCATATCTCCTCTGGAGAAGGAAGCTTCTCCACCACTGCTCTCTCTCACACCTCTTTTTCTCTTCATCCTCACCTCCAAACTGACTTCCTGAACTGAAGTCAAATCTTTAATACATGAAAACGTGCATAGACATGATTATTTATTCCAAATGTTGTCCTAATTACATATCGTCAGCAGATTAGACTTGTAACCCTGCTGCCCCCGATCGCTTACAATGAGCATCATGTTAGCTTATAACCATTGTTGTTTAGGCAGCAACAGTTGGTTATAAGCTAACATTATGTCAGCTGATGTTAGGCTAGTGTCCTAAAAGGGTCCAGACAAAGAGTTTGGTTACATCCTCACATCAAATGAGAGTTTATTTTCCAAGCGTTAGAGTCCAACAGCGTGAGCTCCACTTCGAAGAAAGTTTCACCAAGTTCAGGATATCCTCCACACCTCACCTGAGGAGGGAAACAGGTTGAACGGTTGAAAGAGTTTAGGACTGTGTGTGTATGTATTTGTGTGTGTAAATATACATATATTAAATGTCTGATGTCAACACAGAGTTCTGATTCATTTAGGTCTCATGTCCTGCTGCTAATACTTTTTTGTTTTTCCCTGTCCTTGTGGATTTTCCAAGTTCTTACTGATGAAGCTTGAAGTGATCCTTTTTCTGTGTGTGTGTGTGTGTGTGTGTGTGTGTGTGTGTGTGTGTGTGTGTGTGTGTG